CTATTATTACTACTGCTGCTGCTGCTGCTACTACTATTACTACTGCTGCTACTCCTACTACTCCTATTACTCCTACTACTCCTACTACTACTACTACTACTACTACTGCTACTACTACGACTACTACTGCTACTACTACTACGACTACTACTACTACTGCTGCTGCTGCTGCTGCTACTACTACTACTACTACTACTACTACGGCGACGACGACGAGGACGACGACTACCGACGACGACTCCGACTACAACGACGAGGACGACGACGGAAGCATGCCTGCCAATTCGCCTAGGTGGTGGCGCGATGAGCGTGCAGTACAGGTTCTGGCAAGGTGTTTCGGGCTTTTTCTTCGCAAGGTGTGGGGATCGCCATTTTGCAAGCAAGGAGCCGATTGTAGCAACGTGGCGAGGGAGTCCCAGGAGCGAAAGGTAGCTGTAAAGCTGGTAGGTGGGCCAACTCGAGAATTCTCAACATCCATCTGCACCTCGATGTCGTCGTCCTCATTGTCCAGCCGATCCTCGTCGATCGCCTCTTCAGGCAAGTCGTCGAGAAGGTTGATCGCAGCCATGCACGCGTCTCTGCCCAGCTTTGGTTGCGCTGACTGCGCTGACTGCTGACTCTCCCTGAGCTGGGGCATGGCTTTCGCCAGCCTCTTGGAGAGTGGCTCGGCCACTGGTGGAAGTGCCCCTGCTTTTGCAGGGGTGGCAGACTTCACGGATTCCAGAGAAAGCCGTGGACCATTGCTTCGAAGATCGGATTTGGGGGCCTCGGGCGGTTGCAAAACCTGGCCCTGGCGATCCAAGCCATGGAGCTGCTGCTCCAGCTGCGTATGTCTTTGAAGAAGTCGTTGGATTTCACGACCTTGTTCTTCAATCGCCGCCCTCAGCTGCTGGATGGTCTCAAGGCTTTCATCAGCCATTGCTCATCGAGGAGTCTCTCCACCTAGCTCACCTCACGCCGCAATTTCTGAAGCGGATGGCTCCTCCTGACATGCTGGGCCCGTTTAGGAGGCCATCCTCCGGCGTGAATGTTGGAACTTTGCGGCATGTTCAATACAGGTTACTGGTACCTGACAACTACGAGAGGTCAGTCGCGTTCGAGCGATGATGGGATGCTACAGTACTGTTAACCCCACAGCTGTTTGAGCCTGCAGACATGCACAAGGCTTGGCATGGTGCATACAAGCAAAGTTCGTCCGACGCAGCTGTCGTCCACCGACCGCTCTTGATTTTGCCATGCTCAGCCGGTGCCGCAAACTCAGGGAAAGCATGCCTTGGCCCGGTTGAAGCAGTCTGCGCGGTGCATCTGACTACACTGGCTTGTAGTTAGACTACGGCATCCTGAAACTACGAGGAGCAGCAGCCGCGGATCCGACCTCTCCTGCGGCCCAGGAACACGTAACCGAGACAGTCCTCTGGGTGTGGCCTAGGTTGCCAGACGCATTTAACAAAGCTGGGCAAGCTACAAGTAGCAAAGTCAGAGAGAGAGAGTCGGATCCCTTTGCATGTTCGTATCTCCCTGCCCCAAGCCATCCGTGCACGCTCAGGGCAAGAGGCAGTTCGCCGGGATGCCTCTGAAAGGGTTGCGCCTGGTACGACTTGAACAGCAAGTGTCATTGGGTACGGGCAGGGAAAGGTCGAGTAGTGCACTTGAAGACCGCGACTGGCACAAAGCAAGTTGCAGGATCTGCCTTGCCTGTGCCACCCGCGATGCACTCAAAGCCTTCAAGTCCTGGCGAAGAGTCGACATCGGCTTTCTAGGAAGAAAAGGCAGCTATGCCGTCATGCAGCCATCATGGCTCCTGTGCCATGGCCCCTGCTTCAGGGCCTCACAAAACATCGGAGCTCACTGCAAGCCTGCGGCAGCTCACACAGCTTGCCTTTTGAGGCGTCTGAGGGCTCTGCCAGCCTCGCCGCGTGGCTCACTGAGCAGCCAGTCCTCGAGCGGACTCATGGCCACCTTGGCAGCGCTTGTCGGGCTTTGGTCCGTTTAGGAGCCTCTTGGGCTGTGGGGGCAGTTCAAGGCTGGGAGCCTGCAGGTAGCAGGCTGACAGGATCTTCATGTTGGTCTGCTTCCACTTGCCTTCGCACGAGAGGTTCCAAAGCGATGGGCCATGGAGCCATGGACAGGTTTGCTGCCAGGGAACGGGGAAGGTGACGCACCTGCCTCGGAGGAATCAGAACACCACCAGATAAAACCTGCAAATGAAACTCATTGACCTGGTACGTCCGTGCGCTCCCCGTCAACGACTTCATGAACTTGCTTCTCCGAGCTGCCTAACTACGGCACGCCACCCTTCGGCAAGCTTACCGGAACCGGCCCCCCAAATAAACGACACGCAACACTCCGCTGGCTCCAAGCGGCTTTTTCATCAGCTTCAGGATCAGCCGGTGCACGGGGGAGCCGGCTGACTTTTGCAGTCCTCGTGCGGATGTTCCAAGGCTTCCCGCGTGAAACGTCCAACTCGCGCAGGTTCCGGGAGCCCGGCGTTTCAGGATGAAGGAGGCCCGGTACTGAACAAGATATTTTCGCACGCGGTCGGGGCCTCGGTGCTCATGCCTGCCTAGTCCCCGGAGCTGGATGCACAGCACAACGTGCGGGGAGGGGGGGGGGGGGGAATTCCGGAGACTCCGCTCACGAAATGTTCAGCTCAGGTACAGGTTTTGCAGAGCATGTGAAGCAGCTCCAACAGGCGAGCATTGCCACACTCCTGGCAACAGCGCACGGCACTGGCGATGCTTTCTCGGACAGGGAAGCATCTCCCCTTTGAAGATTCGTTTGATCAAGCTTTCGCAGTTGGAGACACAATTAGAAAAAAAAACTTTTGGGCTGTTAGAAGGTGGCGTTGCTTCGATGAGGGTACACGCATGAGAAAACACAGCGATTTCGCTATGTGCGTGGATGTACAATGGAATGAAATGAGGGAAGTGGGACTGCGGAAAAAACTACAAAGACTTCACGCGCATCGCCTATTCATCTGGAATTTCTTCTATGCCGAATTGAGGTAGCTGTGCGAGTTGTGTTTGTGCATAATCGTCCGTATGAGGGTGCCATGCAGTGATGCGACAGCAGCAGGATACAGAAGTTGCACCAGGGATAGGTCTCCATGTAGCTTGAGAAGATGTGGCAAAAGCTGAGCCAAGACCGTATGCAGCGCACCACAAAAGGATACAAGCCACCCGGACGTCTCACACAACCACTTAATCGACGACAAACCATCGAGACCATGAACGAGCAGGACTGCACGGAAGGACGATGTTGTTGCCAAGACGGGATCCCTCCACTTCAACCATGTGCTATAGTGAATGCTTGGGTGTTCCGGAAGTTTCAGCTCATGTTCCTTTAGGACCTTCGGAAAGAATCACCAGTGTTCGTTCGTTGTCCACATCTAAGTTGGATAAGGCTTCGAGGGTCAAGGCAGGATAGTCGAAGAGTTTCTGGCACATACTCAAGACCCACCTTTGACAAGCGCCAGTCTCAGTCTTTGTTGATGCAAGGCGCGGAGGAGTTCTCAACGAGCCATATGCTCACTCGGTCTTCGCAGCAAGTGACCAAAATGCCTATGTTTGCCGTGAAGCCATGCCACAGTCCACACCTAGACCCACAAAAGGCTCACCAAAACTCATCGAACCATCGGAACCTGGCCTGGCCTCACGGTACTTCGAAGACAGCGGGAAATGCGCACCTCGCCAGCCGAGAATGACAAGCTTCGTGCGTCGTCGGGTTCCCGCGTCCCTGACTTCCCATTGCGGGCCGAAGACAAGGCAGCACCTTGGCAGGTACTGGTGTCAGGAATGGAGCGAGGCAGACAGCTGCTATGCCCAAACTGCCTCAGGATGTCCTGAAGCATGTTACGCATCAACTGAGTTCACAGCCGGTGTAGGCGGTGCAGTCTCGGGGGGCGGATCCTGCCAGTGGTCTCAACCCAAGATGTGATCCCGTGAAAGCCCAGTTGAAGGACACCAAGCCTATGCTAGCACCGCAGAATAGTCTGGAAAGTCTTGCAAGAACCGCTGTCACATGCGGTCTTCTGTGCTACTGATCTGGCGGTGTCTCTACTCCAAGAGCTGCACGCCGCACGCTGCCACAAAAGGTCCGTATTCAAGACCTTCAAGACCACAATGGCCCCTGCGATTGCAGGGACTGCAGCATCTCCGGCGCTGGTCATTCTGCCTCTGAGACTCTGGCCGTTGAGCCCGAGGCCATGGTGATCAGACAACACATGCGTAAGACAGGCATAGTCCTCGCATCATTGGCTTAAGCTTGAAGGCCCGGTCTTGCTTACTTCCAGTCAGCAGAGAGTCCACATGAACCCACACTCCTCCGCATCGAACCGTCTGGCAGACTTGATCAGCAAAAGCAATATGCCTCTGAGGCACGAAGTATTTGCAATCTCTGGCATCCATGCAAAGCATAAAGGGAAGGCATGCTAAAAGCTTCCATGATGCAAGTCTTGTGCGCACATGATACACGCGGAATGCTTCACCGAAGGTACCGCACGGCGCAAACTAGGTGACTTTACCCATGTGCACACGACACCTCCAGCGCCACAAGCGAGGAGCTGCCGGTGCCGGAGGTCCTCGCAGCAGGACAACAATAAAAAGCATTGCTGCCGCCTTGCAAAGGTCTATCGTTCATGAGCCTTCAACTGGAGTAACTGGAGCAGTCCCACATCACTTTCCCAGTGCTTGGATGTGCCTCCACCGGGTCTGGAAGCTCCAGCTCGCCGGGAAAGGCCAGGCCCTAGATCGAGGTTAAAAGAAGGAGAAAAAGGATCAAGATACAGGTCGGTCTTGCTGCATTTCAGTTTGTAATAGCTTACGTGACTTGCATGGTGAGAGATTCCGTGTCCGGGGTGGCTCTTTCGCCTGAACACGCGTTTACTCCTTTCGCGCCTGCTGGCTCGGTCTGAGCCCTCGGTCAGCCGGTCCGTCATACGCCGGGTGGCGTGTGTATGATGCCAGACATGAAGATTGTGTTCAACTCCGGTCGGTTGTTTTACAGTGAACTTCAAGGAATTGAGGTGCACCGTCCCTCACTTGTACGCCCCACTCTTATCACATACGCTATTGTGGCAGGCTGCAACGTGCCGTGGACAAACGCAGAGCTGGCAACGGGTGGCCACGTGATGAGCTCAGCACGTTACCATGACAAAGGAGCTGTCGTTTTCAGAGCATTTCTGTAGCACCAGGGTAGCAAGCTCTGCGCAAAACTTCCGTACTGGCTACTCTCGAGATGTATGCGCGTAAGAATGCCAGAAGAATTCAAGAGCAATTCGTAATCGGCGGTTCTGAAAATCATCCAGCCGTCGAGGTTCCGCGGAAGATAAGCATACGCAACTCAGAGGATGCATCGGTTTCGATTCAACAACGACCCCACGACTACGGTCAGTTAAGTTCACCAACGCGCCGAATCACCAAAGCTCTTCGGCCAGGTTAGGATCCAGGATGGGCGGACTCAGCGCCTCTTGAGTCGTCCCGGACAATTAGTATGCGTCGCGTCTGTTCAGACGAAGGCTTGAGACTTATCTGCTCCACAACCTCGCCACAATGCTAGCGACGGGGCACTTCACAGACTTCCTGCCTGACCCTCCCGCATTGCACTGGCCTCGTGCATGTCAGCCGCACGCCGCTCCCGCCACAGGTCGAGCACGTCGCACACGTTGATGACGTCGGTGCAGACACCTCGAAGACTCGAAGACTCAAACTGCATTCCATTCCGTACATTTGGCTGACTAGCAGCTGATCACTTCCATCTCAAATACAGTTCACCGATGCAACTGAATCCGAGGGAGGAGTTACTCAAAGCTCCGGACTGGAGTTCAGCACTAGCCGCATCAGCATGACCATGAGCTCTCCGAGTGAAGGGAGCAATGCCGCGAACAACCTGCTCCACTTCTTCAATCAACGAGCAATCGAAGGAAATGCATGAAGAGAGCTGGTTGAGACGCAACAGTATGAAGCCATGATGAGCAGAAGCACATAGCTTACAGTCCGCTTGACTGTCGGGGATTCTGCTGACAAAGGTATGTGCATAGGCAGAGCTCCACACCTCTGCCAAACCGCTTGTGGAGAATGAGATTCAGAAGCCGCGGCTGGTACGCAATCTGTCCAAGAGGCAACCATGACATGGCAACGCCGCTGGAGCTGAGCCCTCTAGATATGCTGATCGTTAGATGCGGTCGTAAGATCACGTCGCCCCAGCCAGGACCTACCACGCAGCACCCTGCCCGCCACCCCCGCCCCTCCACAAGATTGAGACTTGAGATTCTGAGATGCCACCCTTCAAGCCTTCGCCAGACTCAGCACCTGAGGGTGCCTGGCAGGTACATTCACATCCGAGCAGGTTGCCTTTCAGCCAAAGAACCCTGGAACAGACAGGAGTCAAGCAACGCTTTCCCTGGACATTGGCAGTTAATAGGTGCCAGCCTTTGGGACAAGGGAATCGCCCGAACCAAGAGGCACCTGGCATCCGGCCGTCATACTGATTAAAGGCATCGGAAGAAAGTCTGCCCCATGCCTATCCCATTCATCCACTCTTACTCAGAAGCTTATATGATATATGGCCACAGTTGATGACCGAGTCTGGTCTGTCGCCCTTTGGGCTTTGCATGTTGAATGGTTCACCTTCCGGCGGCCTTTGCAGGAAAGCGGCATTTATTGCTGTCGGTTCACAGAGTCCGGTCGTTTTTCGGCAGATGTCTACGAGGCAGCCTCCAGTTTGACCGAGCGCTTGGCAAGGACCCTCTCAAGCAAAGTTTGGCTGTGGCATGTTGGCCGGCATGGCCAAGATGCAAAGAGGAAGGACTTGAACAAGCGACAACTTGCCTCTGCAAGTTGCTGCAACAGGAGGAATGGCGGGTGACTCATCGAGCACTGCTTTTAAGTTTGCTACTGTACCTGTGCATTTCGCTGAAGGATCACGATCCTTCCGAGACTCCACAGGATCGACCCCACTTTCTGTCTGTCCGCACCACTGCCTGAAAGTGATGGGTCACCGAACGGTACAGGCCCCGCCCCACTACCATGCTTGCTCTCGACTTGTTCGATCTGCCCAACGACCTCGCGGCCACACAAATCAGCAGCCCTGACCGGCATCCCCTAGGGGGCCTCCTACGAAAGCGGGTCGGATCCTTCGGGGACGAAGTGGGACGGATCATCGCGGGGCTCGTCCTGTACAAAAAGCAGAAAGGCCTCTGTGGCCACAGACGAAGAACGTGCCGAGCTTGGCGAGCCTGGACATGACACGAAGCAACCCTCTCAGAAGCACACGGATTTGGGTGCTCCTGCACAAAAGAAGTCAGAAGCAACTTTTCCGAGCAGGTCTGCAGGCACGTCTTCTCAAATGCTGCCTCTTGTCAGCATCAAGTCCTGGAACCGGGCCGAACTTTGTGAGACTCAAGCGACACGGGGCGAACATAGTGAAGTTGAGGCGAAGAACGTCGGTGGACTACCTACCTTTTGGCCCGAAGATAAGCTGGTCTCTGATGTAAGGACTTCTGCGAAATCCCACAAGTTCCAGAAATGAACCGTCCTTTTGCTGCGCAGGACACCACTAACCAAGCTTCATAGAATGCCTGAACTCCATCTTACAGGCAGGCAGTGATGTTGCATGTCCGATCATCCGGAACTTGTGTGACTTCGATTGCTTTGGACCTTTCAAAGCGCCGGCTCACTCAATTGTTGCTTTGGCACCAGCTTCCTCGAGCTGCTTCACCTTTGCTATAAGCTACGAACGTGCAAGGGATTCCGGGCATGCCAGACCTTCCCAAAGACGAAGAATTCGTGGCCCATGGCTACACATTGCAGCTCTCCCCCCCTTCCAGCCATCAAGGCCGACAGTCATGTACCAAAGCAAGGCACGGCATCTTCGCAGAACTCCTTCGGCTTTCCCTCGATGAACTTGCCCGGGTTGTCAGCCAAGCCCTTGGCGTCCTGGCACCACTTGTGGTACGTCTTCTGAAAGCTGTGCTTAGCCGCTTCTGGGGCCAAGCCTTCAAACCGAGGCCAGTGATGGCTCTCAGGGCCTTGATGATGGCGATCTTCTTCTCCTGTGCAACACGAATCCTCTGTCGCTGATTCCATGACATGCACACAGCAGCGACGAAGCCCTTATAGCCTTAGACCGTATGCAGTAAACCTTTGATGACATGACCTGGTCAGGCTGGCTTTTGCTGTCTGCAGCCATGCCTGCACCGACCCTCTTGACCAGTGTTAATCAGCGTGCCTGCAAATAGTGTC